AGTGCCGCTTGCATCACCCACACTGCACACCACATTGCCTTTGTATAGCTCATAGAGGCATCAGGAGGAGGGTGGAGCTAAGACCTCAATTCTGAGCAGATTTTCAGTGTCAGATCCTAAGACTTGCTTCCCATCCAAAGCCAGAGGTAGCTGAGAGCCCAGAGTGGCAGTTGGGCTATTGACAGATCCACCATAGAGATAGTGCTCCCAGAACACAACCACAATCCCCTGCAAGTTCCCCACGAGGCCTCCTCAGCACCTCAGGCCCAGCATGCAGGCCTTCACGAGAGCTATAAGCACAGTTGGGAAGGGAGATGGGGGTCCCCGCATCCCAGCTCCTCTGGAGGGCTGACCAGAGACCCTCGTGTCCACCCACTGACCCCCAGAAGGGCCTACCTTGCCAGCTGGCCACACCAGTTCCATATGCACCTTAGAGGAAACAAGAACACACAAGAGCTTTGCTTGCAGAACGAAGGCTCCTAAGACAACCCACACCCCAGATATCGGACAGCTGTCACCTCACTCCCCTATCCCCGGGCCAGGGCTGCAGGTGCTATGGCAGCACTCTGGGAGGCACCTGTGGCTGCCTACTAAGGCCAGGAACTATGAAACTCTTCTTCCAGAGCACTCAGCTAAGCATAATCAGGGCTTCCCTCCTAGGCAAGCCCGGTCTCCACATCAAAGCAAGGGAAAGGACGCTGCAGCCCACCCCAGAAGCTCATCTAGTGTGGGCCACCAGCCAAGAAGCCAATGGGCCACGTCCCCAGGCAGAGCCTTCTAAAGTGCCAGCACTCACTAGGAGCCAGAGCTCAGGCACTGCCAAAAACATGGAGAGTGCACAGTGGAAAACCATGTCCCTAACTCAACTGAGCAAGAGGACATATGTGTCTGAGTGACATGGACGGCCTCTTTCTGGGACACTCGGTGATGGGCAGAGAAGTGACCCTCCCCCCAACAGTAATAGGGGCAAATCCCAGGCTCAGAAAACAAAGGATGCCATCGTCCAAATCCCTGGACGATGCCGCAAAAAAGCTCATTAATTAGAGCACATTTTGGTCAAATGCACTTAGTGCCATGATCTGGACTCCAGAGCAGGGTTCAGCCAACAGGCCCCAGGCCAAACCTAGCCCACTGCCAGCTGTTGTATAGCCAACCACATTTTTAAATGGTTGAGGAAGAAAAAAAAAAAATCAAAAGAATATTTCGTGATGTGATACACATCACTTATACACTTGTCAAAACCCATAGAACTATATACTACAGAGTAAATATTAATGTAAGCTATAGATTACAGTTAATAACAGTGTATCAACATTGGCTTGTTAATTGTAATAAATGTATCCTGCTAACGCAAGATGCTAATAGGGATAACTGTGTAGAGGTGAAGGTAAGGTTGAGTGTATGAAACTCTACATACTACCTGCTTAATCTTATAAATCTAAAACTACTAAGAAATAAAGTCCAGCCCAGCTGGCATGGCTCAGTGGTTGAGCACTGACCTATAAACCAAGAAGTCACAGGTTCAATTCCCAGCTGGGACACATGAAGGCTTGATCCCCAGTAGGGGGCATGCAGGAGGCAGCCGATCATCAATGTTTTTTTCTCATTGATGTTTCTTTCTCCCTCTCCTTTCCTCTCTGAAATCAATAAAAATATATTAAGAAATAAAGTCCATTAATTAAAAAAGTATCTGATAGCCCTGGGAGGTGTGCTCAGTGGTTCGAGCGTCGGCCTGTGCACTGGAGGGTCTCAGGTTCCACCCACGCTCCCTGTCAGGGCACATAACTAATTGATGTTTCTCTTTCTTCACTCTTTCAGTGAGGATTAAAAAAAAAAAAAAAAAGTCT